GGCACGCAGAACACATTAAATGTCAGGTCAACAAACATTGCACAGTATTTGTTCTATTAGTAGCACATTGTGTACATGCGCTTCTAATAGAGCAATGCTGTATTTCCAGTATTTTGTACAGAATACAAGGAACCTGTATAGAGCATGACGCACATGTACCTGTAGCATAAAATCTGTATTGTAAGCAGTGGCTTCTTTTATAACATCTATGCATACATGTATAAGAAATGGTATATTTTTGGCTCTCAATTGTTCAAACAGAATGGGTGTGAATGCTTATTATGGATGCTGATTTTACAACAATTACCAAGCCATTTTTATTAAATTAAGTCATGTGGAGGCTTTCTCATAATTCAGAAAAAAAATGGTACAAATGGCTTGCAAATATTTGAATCTGCATATAACAGTTTATTGTGATATTAGTCAACCGTCAATACTCCCACTGTACTGGTACCCTTGCAATAATCTCAATCTTAATAACACTATTTTAACATACCAGCATAATAGTCAGCTCCAATATCAGTCACATTCAATTTCAGTTGGCCTGGTGCATGTGCTGCATCAATAATCACTTCAACACCACGACTATGACACAACTCTACCAACTCCTTGACAGGCATAACAAGTGTCATGTAGCTAGTAATGTGATCAATTATAGCCAACTTGATACCAGGGTTTGCATCTAGAGCTTCTCTGTATGTCTCCAAAATCTGCTCTTTGTTTTTGATTGGGAAATTTATTTCAGCCTTTACAATTTTGACGTCTGCAAAAAAAAAAAATAGTTGAACTCTGGTGACCTTGCCCTTTGTTATATAATACAATTCCCTGTATCATAGTTTGATTTCAATATAAATATGCATTGTCATAATTAATTTTGAATACAAACAAGTTTTGGGGTTGAACCAACAGTGGGGAATCAGTCTACCGAATGTCCTTAAAAAATGTAAATATTTTACAAAAACATTGGAGCCTTATTTGTTTAATTACTTTAAGGGACATAATTTCCAGCTTTATTCAAAGTAATTCAGATATTTTAGTATAAAAACAAATGTCTCATTGCAAAAAAAAGTGCTGCATTTAGATGTGAATAGATTCATAAAACATGCAAGATAACAGAAAATTTTAGCTGGCTTTAGTCCAAGTATTTTGTACAGGTGTCTGTCAAAAATTAATGATTTACTGAGACAAATATGAACTGCCTCATTGTGTGACTACTGTATTATATGAAAAGTAAAAAAAAAAACACCCTTTATGAATAGCTATCATGTTGCAAGCTCTGCTTTGTATGCAAATCAACTTAAAT